TTTATGCCTAAATGGTGCTTGATAAACATTTTCAATTGATAAATTTATTTGAAGTGATTTTCATAAAAATAAATATTTTTATTGTGGGGAGACATGAATGTATAATAATTAAGAGTCCAGGTTTTAGAGCCAGACTATGTGGGTCTGAACACGGACTAGCTGTGTGATCCTTATAAGGACGCGTCACCTTGGTTTTCTCCCATCCAAGTACTAACCAGGCCTGACCCTGCTTAGCTTCTAAGCTCAGACGTAGTTTTCTCATTTGTAATATGGGACTAAAGCTTGAGCATGTAATACTTGGCAAAGCCCTGACTGGTGTGGCTCAGTGGGTTGGGCGCCGTCTGGCAGACCCAAAGGCAGTGGTTTGATTCCCGGTCGAGGCACATGTCTGGGCTGCAGGTCAGGTCCCCAGTTGGGGGTGGGTGAGAGGCAACCGAGGGATGTTTCTAATGCACATTGATGTCTCCCTCCCTCCCTTCTCGTCTCAAAATAAATAAAATATTTTTAAATAATAATACTTGGCATAGAGGAAATACTATATAAACATTAATTATTATTATTACATTTAACTTTTATTCAGTATTTGCTCTATGCCAAGTACTGTATTAAGCACTGCCTATGTATCTTCTCAATTAATTCTCCCAGTAGTCCTATGAAAATAGTTCACATTATCACCCCTATAAAGTATTAGTATCATCCCTATTTTACGAATGATGAAATCAAAAGTCTAAGTAACTTGACTGAGTCATATGTGGTAGGGTCAGAATTTGACATAGGTCTGCTTCACTCTACTCAGTCTATCATGTTATTCTTGGAGAACCAGTTTTAACATGAATTTGGTATTATAAAGGCACCAATTCAGGCCTAAAATTCACTGAATGTATATCCCTTGTCACTTAGCATCTATCAACTTTCCCTCCTGTTTACTGTGGAATTGAGCACTCGGCTCATGGTTTTACTCTTAACATCTTCTCAGTCCCTTCAATGTCTTCCCATCTCTCATGCCACTGTGTCCCCTGATTCCATAAATTCCAATGACCTTAAATCTCTACACCACTTCACCCACCAGCATCCATTGACATGCTAGACTTCATTGCTATCTGGAACTATAGCACTTTGGAAATTATCATACCAAAGGTCTCTTGGCTTTTTCACTCTTCAATCCTCTAACCACCAATCTTTTTAATCTCATAGGCTCTCCTTTTCTTTAATCTGTCATTTCTGTCCAGTCTATCATTCTTTCCAACTCAGCCTGGATTCTAGGGTTGATGATTAACCTGTGACGTATCATTCTCCTTCTTGCATATCCTCCAGCAAAACTCCAAATTGGGGTCAGTGTTACGTTTTTCCTCTTACACTTGAGTGGTTAAATTTTGATGGAGAAAATCACATAATCCTGCAGACTCCACTATTACAAATTCATGATCTCTGTCCTGGCCAGTGTGGCTCAGTGGATTGAGTGCTGGCCTGCAAACCAAAGGTTGCTGGTTTAATTCCCAGGCAGGACACATGCCTGGGTTGTGGGCCAGGTCCACAGTTGGGGACACGCAAGAGGCAGATTGTTTCTCTCATACATCCATGTTTCTCTCCCTCTCTTACCCTCTTCCTGAAAATAAATAAATAAAATCTTTTTTTTTTTTAAAGGAGGAAGCATTTATGTTCCTACACCAAAAATGTAACCTTTAGGAAAAAAACAAAAAACTCATGATCTCTAACCTCAGTTGGGTCCTCAAAGTCCCACATCTTGAGTTCACTAAACCACCTTCCCTCAAAATCCATCAGGGTAATTGAGGGCTTTGTTACTGGAGTTTTAGAGAGCCATCTGTGGTCAAAACTTTCTAGAGCTTTCTTCCTGAGGGATTGTTTCTGCTTTCATGGTAAAAATACTGCTCTGTGCGGATGACTTTCAAATCTGTATCTCCAGCTTGGATTTATCTGTCCAGTGGACACCCGTACTTGGAGGTCCCTCAGGCACCTCAACTTCAAAAGGTTCAGAATTGAACACATCACTGTTTCCCTCAAACCCGTACCTCCGGCAGAGCAATGCCCTCTCCCCAGGTACTGTAAGGGCAGAACATATGAGCACCATCCACTCAAGCTAGAAGGCAGATGCCATCCTTGCGTCTTCTCTTTTCTTTACCTTCACAGTTTCCAATTCCAATTTCCTCCTGGTTTCCGGAACTTCCCCTCTCTTCTCTGTCCTTACTGCTCTTGTCCTAGGTTCAGTCTCTTGATCAAACTGGACTACTAGGACTGTTTCAGGAGCTTCCAAATTTTGTGACCTCAGAGTCGGCTCCCTCAGATCTATCCTCAGCACTGCTGCCAGGTGGACCTTCTAAACACAGATCTGACCATACCACACTCACACTTAAAACTGCGTTGGCTCCCCATCGCCTACAAGGTAAAGCCTCTGCTTCTTGGCGTGACACACACGACCCCCTGTGATCTGGCTTCAGTTTCCTTCTGCAGTGCCTTCGTTTGGCAACCCTCACCCGACCCCTTATGCTTCAGCAATAAAGGAAAACTTGCAGTTCTCAACCAGTGCTTTGTTATTTCTTGCCTCTACGTCTTTCCTCATAGTATCCCGTTGGCCTAGACCTTCCTTCCACTCCTTCACCTTTACTTGGCCAACTCCTACTTTCCTTTAAAGGCCTACATTTATAGGTTACTTCTTTTGAGAAGACTGTCTCAACAAGCTGCTCTCCCCAACCCCAAGACTCCAGACAGGACTAGCAACAATGCCCTTGTGCTCCCGTGGCCCCGCATTCGTCGTGCAGATGTCTCGTGTGCTTACCCATTTGCGTGTCTGTATCACGGTTGGACTGTGGGCTCCTTGAAGCTTGGGACCATGTGCTCTTTGTCCATGTACCTCTTTGCCTGGCAGCGGCATAGAGTAGGGGCTCAAGAAACACTTTTAAATGTTGGACGAATATGTGATTTTTTAATGAGAAGTCATTTTGCACCTGGAATGATTTTTTTCACTTTACAAACAAGGCAGCGAGGGAATAATCGATATCACCAAAACTCGTGATTATTTCTCAAGTTTAATTATGAGCAATAGGCAGAGTGATATTCAAATGGCGCTGTGAGAGCTGGAGGCGCCTGAGTCACGGGGGCCCTAAGAGAGGAGCCCGGGAGGGTTTGCAGCGGTGCTGCTGCGGCAGGGGACAGTCAGGGTTCCTACGGAGTGCCACAGAAGCCTGCACGACCTCCATTCCTCTCACACAAACTCTCATTGCAGCACATGAAAGATCATCTACTGTACCTTGTTCAGAACATATGGATTCTTGGTTTGAGTAAGAAAAACACGGAACAATGGAGAACAAGCTAAAGTCCCTTTCCCCTCTTACACGGACTCTCTTAGGAACTAATGCTCTCCCCAAGCCCCTGACTCTGGCTAAAGCAGAAAGCTGGACCGTTGGAACACTACCGCACTTTCAGAGAGTTTCTTCGTGAAAAACCAACTGAAAAGGTAAATGGCACATTTCTCCTGAAGTTCAGTATTGAGTGTTTTTGAATTTTAGGTATCATGAGGGCCCCTTCTGTAGTTAAAGTAATAGCAGGTAAGCATGTTGATTACAAAAATCAGCTAACTGCTAATAATAATCATTGTTATTACATCGAAGTCATAGTCCTCGAATGGCCACTCAGTGGCAGGTGCTTTACACTAAGTATTGAGGGGGACCAACGTTTTGCCACCCTAAAAGATACCTTTTGGGCAATTGATTTTAAGCTGGTTATTAAGGAGGCGGGGCGGGGGTGGGAGGAAGACTCAGGACCTTAGACCTTCCCTCTTTCTGCCTAAGGGGATTCAGATAGAAAAATCTGCTTCAGGAAGGGAACCTGAGCAATCTCACCTGCAGATTCACCTTCGCACCTATGAATTACATGTGGCGGATAGGACGAAATCTGGCAAAGCCTGTTTGTCGAACTTCCTTCTGTATCCCATTGTTCTGGGCTGTCCAGAAAGAACTTATTTACCACATGTTGTCCACCTGTGAAGAACCGGCTTTCCTTTTGAAATCCCAGACTCCTGCCCCGCCCTCACCTTCTCCTTTGTCCAAAATGATACGGAAACCTCAATTACCCAATGTATCTTCGGGTCTCATGTCTTCTGGCACCTACGAGTGTACCTCTTTAATAAACTTTGGACATTGTCTCCCATTACTGTTAAATTCATTAACTCAGGTAGGAGAACTTAGACGGTGGGAAGCACGTTTTATGTTGGTTTTTTTTGCGCCCCTTCTCACTATATTTATGCTTCACGACAATCTTTTAAATAGAAATTATTTTTTCCTTTTTCTGTTTGAACTACCGAAGTTCAGTGAATCCAACTGACTTGGGGCAGGTCCACAGACAAGTTGGTTAGACGCTGGGGCCAAAGGCCACGCTGGTTTCACCAGGACGGAGCCTCTCTCCCAGTCTACGAAGTTTTGTCGCCGGCTGGCGCGACGGGGAATGCAGGAGGGTGGCTTGGAAACTAGGTGAAACTGCGGAAGAAACTCAACACTGAAAGCAGTGAAAAGGCAAAGGAACCACAGCACCGCGAAGCTGGATCCGCGAGGCAGATTCCAGGTAAGAGAAGCGAGAACAGACCGCGGGACGCGCGCAGACCTGCGGACCTTTGTGGCCGTCTAGAACTGTCGCCTCCCCGGGGAAGTTAAGGGCAGGGGAGAGTGAGTGTAGGCCCTGTAGCAATCTCCGTGCGTTGCTTAGGCAGCTCCTCCTCATCTACCCTACACCAAACCAGAAATTCCACTCCGTTTTTCTGGAGTGGCGTTCTTGTAGGCAAGCAGGAAGGGGACTGGGGACCTCCTGCACTTGGTGCCTCCCCGCCCCCCCGCGGAGATTGGTACGTCCCGGCCCCCACCGTCGATCTGGCGGCTGCGCGCGCACTCTCCGGCGGGGGCGGGGCGGCCTCGTGGCGCGCGCCCGCGCCGCCAGGTTACGCGCCCGCGCGCCTAGGCCTGGAAGGGCAGGCGCGGCTGCGGGGGCGCGCCCCGTTCCTCCGCCCCGCCCCCTCCCCTGAGTCCCGGGTGCGCGGCTCAGCGCGAGGAGAGCGGGGACCCGCGCCTCCGCCCCGCCCCCGCCCGGCGCGTGGAGGCCGCTCTGATCGCTGTCGCCGCCGTAGCCGCCCGCGCGGGATGACCTGGGACGGCTCTGGGAGCCGGCTGCCGCAAGAGGTCTGGGGGCTCCGCCGGCCCGCCGAGAGGTGCGAAGTGGTCCCGCCGCGGGATCGGAGGACGGGAGGTCGCGGCGGGCGGCTGGCGGGCCCGGGGGCGCGGGGTCTGGGGATCGGGAGCAGTCTGGGGACGCTGGGCCGCCCCGCGGTGGAGAGCGCGGTGTCAGTGACAGGGACGCGCCGTGCAGGTGGGACGAGCCTGGCGGAGAGCAAGGGCACCCGCCCGTCCCCAGGGAGCGGGGTCCCCGCCCCTCAGCTTCCACCCGCGGGGCGCCCGCGGGACGGTGATTTATGTGGGGTGAGCAGGAGAAACGTCCTGCACAATGTATCTTTCTCTGCCGTCACAGACGCCCTGACTTCCCAGCCCCAGGGAGTTCATTTTCCTTCTCCGTAAGCTTTCTGTGGGTTGCATTATCATTTCTAAATACATTGCAGCTCGCTATTGATTTCAGGCTGCAGCCTCCAGACCTTTTATTGCTTTCTTTCCACATCTAGGAATTTCCGTCATAAATCACTTAGGGGGGTAGAGGGACTGTGTCTGTCTTCCCTTCATTGTCCCTCCGAACCCCACCAAGTCAGGTGGAAGGCTCTCCAAAAGGAGCCCTTCTGCAGAATGCTTGTCTTTCCTGGCGGGGACTACAGACGGTGGCAGGTGCTCTAAGGGCAGGCTGCTTTCCAGCCGAGATCTAGAATTTAGAGAACCTCATTAACAGAACGGCAGCCTCTGTGCCCTAAATCAGACACCTTGGGAAAAAGAAGGTTGGACTAAAAGGGAACATGAGGTTTATTCTCAGTCTAATAGCCAGTGAAGATGAAAGAGGCCAGTTCTGATTCCATGCCTCACTGATGCCATAGCCCTCAGCTTCTCAGCTGACTCTTGGCATTCATTACCTAATGGACAGTGTCCGGGAGGAGGAGGTGGGAGGGACTGGAAATGAGATGGGTTTGTTCTTAGTATAATTCTAAACATTCTATTACATTTTAGAGCTCTTTTTAAAATACTGATTTGGGAGAGAGAGAGACAGAAAAACATTGGTTTGTTGTTCCACTCATTGAAGTATTCAGTGGTTGAGTCCTACATGCGCCCTGACCAGGGATCGAACCCTCAACCTTGGCGAACAGGAATGGCCAGGGCACAGCTCACGTTTTTGAGTAGTCTTTTCAGTCGTCCCTGGGGGGGCGGGGGGAGCGAGGATAGTTCAACTTAGAGGACAAGATGAAAGGAAACTTCAGAAAATTTCTGGAAACTTTAAATTAGTGCTTAACTAGAAAGCATTCTTAGGAACCCCGAGAGGCACCAAATACCGTAGCTTCTGTTACGCACATGTTGAAATAAGCTGCCTCATACTTTAAGTTATAAGAGAAGAATGGAGTGAAAACCTGTTTCATTTTGTGAAGACCTGTCCTGGGTGTGTGCTTGGCAATGTACAGAGCAGAAACATTTATATTTCTATAAAACATACACACACACACCACTGTATATTGTTTAACTTTCATGCAAAAACTCAGATACAGTATTTAGGAAATCTGTCTTTGTTTGAATAGTGTAGTCAACCAGGAAAATCAGTTACCCGGGGTACTGTGTTTGTGTAGCAACTCACTTGGGATGCCTTGATGGATTGCTATGGTTCTCATCAACCTTCTCTTCTGTGGAAAACAGCTCTACTCTCAAGTCAGGAGGTACAGCGGACCCTTTGGACGTGGAGCGCGCTGGTCTGGCCTGTGCAGGCTGGGTTCCGTGTCACTCCTTGCCTTCCTTGCAGGTGGTTTGACTGTGTGAAAGGAGTGCCGCTCACTTTAAGCTAGGACCCCCAGCCTGTTTGCAGGGTGTACATGGATGAAGGCTTTGTGTAGGAATGGGGACTCTGTCGTAAGCCTCTAAAGAGGTCGGTAAACTTTGTTGACTAGTTCTCACGCTTTCCTCTTGTTTCTCCACTTTGCCCTTATGCTCCCATGACTTTCTAGGCGATTTCATGTACGGTTTTGTCCAAATAAAAGTTGAAGTAAAGTTGTCCTTCTCTAGAAATGTTTCTTTTGCAAACATGTAGGCTAAAAGTTGGTGAGTGTGTCTGAGTAAAATCCTTGGGGAAGTGATTTCAAGAATTCAACATTATCTTAGTGAAATCAGGCTGCGGACAGGAAAATACAAATAGGTAATTTAAAAATTTGTTATTTATGACACCTAATTTTATTAGCTGTCACCTTGTTATTAGCATTCGTACTAAATAGATGTGTAGGTAAGACAACCCATTAGAAGAGATGAGTTGTCCACCAGGTAGTATTTAGATAGATGATTTTACCACTTAATGGCAACTAATTAGATTTGAAAGGAAATTTGGAGTCTGGGTGCTAAATAGATGGCTTTGAAGAACTTGATTTACAGTTTTTGATTGGTGCTTTCTCCCAAGAAATTTGTTACCTTGGATTGAATTGGAGAATGTTTTATTGTTTTTGTTTAAAATTGTATACTGTGTGTAAACATTCCATTAATTTATAAACATTTCATTTAAAAACTTTTGTTGTGTATATAGTACTAATTCACTTTCAAGAGAACAGGGAGAGGGGGCTTTACTTGATTCTTTTCCATTAAAATTAAGTGTGTGGAATATACTTAATGTCACTTTAAAAATATTGGATTACAATGAAATGAAAAACGGGCTTGTTGGTTTTTTTCTTTTTTTAATCCTCCAACTTTTCCCTCATTGTTTGTGCTCTTTCCTCCATTGTCAGGCTTAAAACATACAGTATCATTGTCATCTGTCCCCTGAATAATGGTCCTGAGGTGATATTATTAATGTGGCTTTTTAAAATCAAACTAATTATACTTGCCTAAAAGAGCCACATGTGTGTGATTCTAGCTGCCTGGTGCCTTTTGAGAGCCCTGGAGACAAGCTAGTGAATAGAGCTGAAAATTCATTCTGTATTTGATTAAATGGAACAGACTCGCTGCTCCTTACCCCAGCAGGGGCTATGAGATCTCTTGATCCCCGAAGCGGCTCCGAGACCCTGGGAATTCCATTAGCGAGCACCTGAGGAATTTCTGCCCTGCAGTGCCTTTTTTGTATGTGTGTATGTGTGTGTGTGCAGAGGGAGTGGAGCGGCGTGGTGAGGGGAGCGGAGGGAGGGGTGCGGAGAGAGGCTACATTAGAAGACTCCATATGTTGGCAGATCTAAAATCAAGGCATGACTTAACAGCTTATCTCGTGAGAGGAGAGCCCAACCCAAAGACAGATTGCTGGTCAGGACGCCCCTCCTAGCAGGGCTGTGTGCCTTTAGCACTGAAGTGAACGCCACTGTTAACAACAGAAAGGCACTTCTCTGCTTTCCCTCCGAAGCACAAGCATTGTGCATACACACGTTGCAGACTTGGTAAGTGTTCTCTGAAGGATCAGTTGATACATATGTAAAATTGTGTCACAGCTTGGTCTTGCCTATAAGGGTGGATGTATTGTTTCAATAACTTTTAAAACTGAGAGCTAAACCTGACCTTTATGTGAGGCGACTCATTTTGCAGCAGCGAAATGCTCGTTTGAATAGGCATAGTTTAGTTTGCTCTTCTGTTTTTGTATGATTTTATTGTGTTTTTGTTATGTTATAGAATTTAAATTCATTTAGGGTATGTCTCTCTTCTGTTGTCTTTTTAAGAGTTCTTTATGATTTCTAGTTGTTTTTTTTTTTTTAAGGAATTGCTTTCCAGACTTGCTAGCAGTCACAAGTAAAAGAAAATGTATTTACTAAAAATATTCTGTAAAATTTTTTGGAGCAAAGTTTTGGAGAAATATTAGTGTATCTTCCTCCCTCTGCTCCTTCTATCCCAACGCAAATAATTTTTGGATACATTTTTCAGAATGTAAGCCAAGTTTGTTTCTTGTGTACTTTTCAAGGAAGAGCAGTTCTGAATCTTGGATGGTGAAGTTAATTACTTTTCATCGTTTGAAAATAGTTAAACATGAGTCTGAATTCCAGTGCTTGTAGTTTTGAAGTAATGCAGAAGAATGCAGTGGAGAATGCAGTAGAGAATGCAGTCAGCTTATTTGACTGTTCATTTGATATTTTGTTCCCAATTAAAATCATGTTGGATGTCACAGTGCTCCCCCCGCCCCCTCATAACCAGGTAGCCCTACCAAATTCCCCTCACTATACAGAGTGTTTAGACAATAAAGGAGCCTTTTAGAGGATATGTTTTAGTTTTCTTCCACTTAATCCTGGGCATGCCTTCTACTCGTATGGCCAAATTGAAAGGACACTTCAGTGCATTGGAGGAAACCCAAAAGTTAGCATGGTGCCTGTCTTGGTTCATAGTTGTTCAGGAGCTTTGCTGTGTGATGTATTTTGATAGCCACAGATAATTAAAATACTACCCCAAAGAACATTTCTTTTTCTACATGTCAGTTGGAATGTGAGTAGGGACTTTTGTTCCTGAGAGCCAATGATCTATCGTTAATCATAGAACGGAGGAACTGTGAACCTCCTTACACCTTACTCGAGAGGAAAAAAATATATACAGGTTACATTATTGAACTTAGGTTGTATATTCTGCTCATGTTTCAGTGCTTGGAACTGTATGTTCGATCTTATTTTTATATTCCCTCATGCAAACAGAATTAAGAGGTTGACAATTAGCTTGCTCCTCGGCTATTCTTGTTAGACTGGCTCACCTCTTTATGTGAGCCTGCACAGTGATCTTGACCTAAGCTTTGCTTTTCTGCTCTACAAAATGGGGATAATAGCAATGGTATCTCTTACCGCTGTTGTGGGGATTACAGGAGATAATGAAAGGGAAGTGCTTGGCATATGGTGAACCTCTGTGAATGTTAGCTGCTGGTATTTTTAGTAATTCCTCCTGTATCTTAGTCTATTACTTTGATCCAGAAGTGATTTCTTTGAAGTACTAAATAATGAGGAATTCTCAGAAGTCAGCATAGTGTGGGTGCATGTGACGGCTATAGTTTCAGTGCGCTACGGTTTGCTTTATTTTGCAATTCAAACTTGAAAGGCACTTGGAAACCATGCGTTGCCTTCTTTCCAGT